CCTTTTAGTGGAAATGAACACTGAGTAGGATTGGATGGGGAAGGATCAGTACATCTACATTTTACTCTGGCTCTTCTAAAGACTCGTGTGACATTTGACTTCTTTGAACTTTAGTTCTCTCATCTGTAAGATTATAGGACTAATTGGATGATTTCTGAGCTGTCTTCCATCTTGAATTCTTTATTTTTTTGAGATTTTCACAAATGAGCTTGATTTGTGTTTGCTTGTCTTTCTTTTCTATTGGCTCTGCTATCCACCTCAATCTGTGTCCATTGGTTTTAACCCTCTATTATTCTGGTATAACTGAACTGTTTCCCAGATTACTCTGAATTGGAATCTGAGGATGGGAATTCCATTGACTCTGCCAACTATGGGAATAAGGAAGAAATACTTCAACAAAACAAAGTAATAACCCATTCTTTCTAAATGTCGGAAGTTTTGAAAAACAGGACAGAATTGATTAGGAATGTATAGTATCAGGCACTTTTTTTGTACTAAAAGGACAGTATAAAGTAGTTTGTTAATGTATGCATAAAGCAGTATTAAAATAGGTTCGTAACATCCATTACCTTATGTGTTTTAGAGATGGTAAATTTTAAGGAAATTCTGTCTAGCTTTGTTGCTGTTATCCTGTCAATTCCTATAACTGAAAAAGTTTACAGAACATTATTCAAACTAAAATTCTTATATATTTGTAAACTAAAATTCTTTTGAGCCAGGCCCATCTTTTCTCTCAGATAGTAACACTAGTTAGTACCATCTGTATTCAAGTTCATCATGGCTTAAAATAAAAGATTGAGAGGTCAAAAGGCAACATAAAGAACTTTAAGGCCGGGCGCGGTGGCTCACGCCTGTAATCCTAGCACTCTGGGAGGCCGAGGTGGGCAGATAGTTTGAGCTCGGGAGTTCGAAACCAGCCTGAGCAAGAGCGAGACCCCGTCTCTACTATAAATTAGAAAGAAATTAATTGGGCAACTAAAAATATATAGAAAAAATTAGCCGGGCATGGTGACGCATGCCTGTAGTCCCAGCTGCTCGGGAGGCTGAGGCAGAAGGATTGCTTGAGCCCAGGAGTTTGAGGTTGCTGTGAGCTAGGCTGTGTTTTCCCACACTGATGGGCAGCTAACTGAGGTAGTGCTATCCAGTACAGTCAACTCTCAATTATCTGTGGTAATGGGAAACAACAATGCATGGGTAATTCTAAAACAGAATATTTTATACAGTATGCTCCTGTCATCTGCTGGGGCCTGAGCATGTGCTTGAGTTCATGAGGGAGATGTGAGAGTAGGGTTCAGGCTTGCAGAGGGGCTTGGAGTCAGTATGATTATCTCAGGGCAATACGAGGTATCCTGTAGGAACCTGGGTTTGGCACTACCTGGCCGAAGTGTCGTGGGGGAAGCCTGCAGCATGCAAGACCAGCTTGGCAAAATCAGTGAGAAGGGTAGGGAAATTAATTAATAAGGAACCATGGGAGAACAGATGTTTAAGTCCTGCACAATTGCAGTGATATTCCTTGGTGTGTTTTTTTGGTGAATAGGATCTGTAGCAAATAATAATACTGTTGATAGCAGTGTACTTGCATTAGTTTTGGTCTACTTTGCTAAGGGAACATATTTTTCACTTGTCACAGGTGAGTGCTTTACTGAGGCTTCTTCTTAATAAATTTATTGTTATAAAACTAGTAACTTTAGAAACCTAGGATAAATTGGAAATACTTTCTTATTATTAAAATTCTTCCTAAATATGTGTTTAATGGTAGTTAGAACATTTAACTTAATGAATTTCAGCATTATAATATGAAACAATATTATGGGAACAGTTTTCAGTTAGCAATAATTGTGCCTCACATAAACTCATTGGCTATGATACTGCCACTGCACAAAGCTGAAAGAATATTATGAAGACACAGGCAATAACGATTGCAGAAAGTTGCGAATTTGATTTAGGAAAACCATAATAACCATATTTTTTTTTTTTCAAAAAAACATGTACATTAAAGAGCTTAAATTTCTTTTAAAACTGATGATTGGCTGTAAGTTGATGAATGTTGAAGCTGGGCAATAGGTATGGGAGGGTGTTTATCATATCAATTTTTAAAAAGTTAATGATTCCCAATATTTATGCTTAGGGAATCATTAGAAGCATTAACCTTGAATCAGCTCTTGTGAAAAGTTTGGAAACAATTGCTGTTTGAGAGTGAATAATGTAACAGACCAGCTAATTAGTCCATCCTCTAGAGATCACTGGTTCTCAACCTGGGCAGTTTTTTCCCCAAGGGGACATTGGGCAATGTCAGACATTTTTGGTTGTCAAAACTTGGGGTGTGGGAGTGCTGCAGTTATCTACTTGGATGCTTCTCTATATCCTACAATGCTGAGGACAGCCCCCTCCGCCCCCAACAAAGAATTACTGGACTCAAAATATCGGTAGTGCCATTATTGAGTAGCTCTGCTTTAACTTTTCTAAGACGTAAGCATTCTTTTAGAGTAGACTACTAGAAACATTGTATAGCCAAACTAAATTATTTTGACTTTCCATAGATGTACATTTTCAAGAGTTATGTTTTAAAAATATACCTTCAGTTTTTATTGAAATTTGATATAAGATACTACAAAGAACATGATGTTTTTTTTTCCTCATATGTTTCTACTTTGCCTTCTCTCCCAGGAAGCTTAGAGCTAAATTTTATGCTCTGTTATAACAACTATCCCTTATTTAGGCTTATAGTTCTGTTTTCTTCTTCTTTGCTATGTTGGTCTTTTATCCCTACTGTTGTAATGGGCTATAAGTTTGGGCTGTGTGTATATTTATGTGCATATGAAGAGAACATACAGTTAATATGTAAATGTCCACAATCTCTAGACCAATTCACACCTCTGTATGGTGAAATGAACAGATTTCTAATTGATATTTTAATGCTTTTTAAAAAAAGGTTACATTTTAAAACAATCTTAAAATATGTGCTTGTTATAAAATTATTACTATATGTTAGTGCAAATAATTGCAAAGTTGCTTCCCACTTTTCATTCTCCAAGGATTTATTAATTTTTCTAGCATGAACATTTGAAATTGAAGTTCCAGTTTGCTATAAGGTTGGGATTCTGTTATGGTTGGTCAGGCTTACATTCTTCTGGTTTCATTTTTGAATAAGTTAAGTACATTTCTAAAAACTGAGGAGAATAAAAACAATGTCTTAAGAGGATTACATTCTCTGATAAACCTTTTATTGGTCTGACAAAAGACCAGTTATATAAAAAAAAGTGCCATATTTTGTTTTTTTAATTTTGAAGTATACTTGAAAAGTATGAAATAATTTTCCATATTTTTAATGATTCAGGGTGACTCATTAAACTTTATTCAAAATGTGATTAGTTTCCATTTCTCTAGAGTTAAAAATAAATAAATTTCAATATCATCACTAATATGCAAACTTCTCTTTTCTGTTAAAGCTCCCCCAAGCAATTGAAAAGGAAAGCAGTTCTCATAATTTACCTAACCTGCACAGAATAAGTTCAGAGACAATTTCTTCTTAAAAAGAAATGCTTAAAATGATAATTTTACTATCATGGTTAGTTTTTAATTTGATGCTTCATTTAGACACTTATTAGCTCTGTGACATATATATCCTGTTGTTTTTAAGATCTCTTGGTTGTAGAGAAATAAGGCACTTGGAATTTGTTTCAAGTTTACTTCATGTTTTAGGCAATCTAGAAGGATAAATGATCAGCTTTCAAATTTCTTACAGTGGTATTTAATAATGTCATGATTGGTTATCATCTTTCCTTTTCACTGTGACTACCAGGTTTTTCTTTTAGAAATGGGAATTTGTAGTAGGACTGGGGAGGAGTTAGCAAAAAAGTATGTCTGTTAATTGCTACTTGAGCCAGGAATGGTAGTAAGAGATGAACAATTTTAGTGAAGTGTTTACCAAACTCTTTTGACTGTAACTCACAGGAAAAAATATGTTACATTGTATTCAGTACATAATTAATGTATATACTTATGCACACAACAGATGTTTCAAGAAACAATCCCATATTTGAAATAATTGCTGCTCACATACCACTAAATTTTAACTTGCACTTTAAAAATACTGCTTTAGTGTATTAATTACCTGTGTATGTGAAGAAATTCACCTTCTGTCGGCAATTAGAAAACTGTAAGAACACATTGTCATTCTGTACTAAATTATGTCCTATGTGTGAATTTAGTAAATATAAATGAATGAAATAGTTTATAAGCATTGTGTCATGATAAAATATAAGCAACTTTGCCCAAGCAAAGTTAAGTTTTTTTGTCAAAAATAACCCTCATTTTTAACATTATAGTTACATTTTGACCCTCTTTATTTTTTTTATAAAAAGATGTTTAAATACTAATAGAAATTATACTAATAGGTTATTTTTAAATGTAGCCAGATTAATCATTAGGGCTTTCTTAATCATCATATTAGGCTAAATCTTAATGGAAAGGGAAAAATTAGCATGCTTTTAACCTAGGAGTTGGCAAACTTTTGTTGTAAAGAGGTCACCTAATAAATATATTAGGCTTTGTGGACCATAACATCTCTGTTGCAGCTACTCATCTCTGCCATTATATTGTAAAAGTAGCAATAGACAAGTAAGCAAGTGAGCAGCGTGGCTGTTTTCCAATAAAACATTACTTATGGAAGCAAAAATTTGAATTTCATATAATTTTCATGTGTCACAGCATTCTTTTTCTTTGGGTTTTTTTCCAACCATTAAAAACCATAAATGCCACTCTTAGCTTGTGAGCTGTAAAAATCAGGTGGTGGGCCAGATTTGGCCTGTGGGCCAAGGTTGGCCAACCTTTTGTTAGCTTAAAAATGGAGAAAGTCAGTAGCCCTGAAAGGACAAAATGTAGCAAGCATGGTTGAGAATATGAATAGCAATGTTAGATCTCTGAGCATTTATATTTTGATCTTTCTGGATATCAGAGATATACATTTTTGTGTTGTGTTTTTATATCATATTTTGCAGACAGTTGATATTCATAAAGAGAAAGTTGCAAGAAGAGAAATTGGTATTTTGACTACCAATAAAAACACTTCAAGGACACATAAGATTATTGCTCCTGCCAACCTTGAACGACCAGTTCGTTATATTAGAAAACCTATTGACTATACAATTCTAGATGATATTGGACATGGAGTAAAGGTAGGTGTAATTTTTATCAAGCTTTTTAAACAGTAGTGCATAATAGAACTAACTTTTTAGAAAATTAAGTTTTATCTTTCCTTTCCTAGAGGACCAAGTCTTGGCCCAGTTGTGGTTGTGAAGATTCCTTGCAACTGTAACTGTTTATCCCCTTCTTCCTTTTTCTTAGTGCTATGTTCTCAAGTTTTAAAGAACCATCTTTGAGTGAATTGCATTTGCTTAATCACTTAGGATAATACCTCATATAGATTAAGTAAATAAGTGTGGTGTAATCTAATTTTAGTGATTTAATGACTGAATAAAAAATCATTCAACGTGCTATTAAAATGTTTACTTTATCATAAATTCATCAGCAGACTTTTGGCATTAGTTTTCAAAAACAATATATATTGATAAACATGTACTTTGAATTTTTCTAAAATAATTTTATCTCAACATTTTGAATGGGAATAGTGTAGGTAGAAGTAATGTATGAATGAATATTTCCACTGCTTTTGAGTATTTAGCCATTATGTATTTTGGTTATCTTTTAAGAAGTATTTGAGTGCTTAATTTGTATATAAAGTACCATAATCAGGCTGGGTGTGGTGGCTCATGCCTGTAATCCTATCACTCTGGAAGGCCGGTGACAGGAGGATCACCTGAGGTTAGGAATTTGAGACCAGCCTGAGCAAGAGCAAGACCCCATCTCTACTAAAAATAGAAAAATCAGCTGAGTGTTGTGGCACGTGCCTGTAGTCCCAGCTGCTCTGGAGGCTAGATGGGAGGAGGATTGCTTGACCCCAGGAGTTAGAGGTGGTAGTGAGCTGTGATGGTGCTGCTGCACTTTAGCCTGGATGACAGAGCAAGAGTCCACCCCTCCTCTCCCCCCAAAAAAAACAACCCCAAAAATACCCGGAGCGATACTCCATCTCAAAAAAAAAAAAAAAAAAGGTACCATAATCAAAACTAAGGAATAGGTAAGGGTGAGGAGTGGAAAAATAAAAACCCCAAAAAACTAAGGAACATGTAAATTTCATTTAAATCTCTGTACTTAAACTATTCAGAGCTTTAGCTAAGTGCAAAGTTATTTAAAGCTTGCATCTGATCAGTGATTTGGAAGACAATGAATTATCAAATGTGACTTTAAATAAATATACATATATGCCTATATGAAACTGTACAGTTCATTTTTTTCTAATATAAGCATATTTAAATAAAAAAACCCAGACTACAGGGTGTCCCAAAAGTCTCCAAGCAAAGGAAAAATTTTGTAAAATGTTGTAATGAATATTTTGTAAATAAAGGTATATTTAGCTACAATTTCCCATTTTCTCTATGTGTGGCAACTTTTGGGACACCCTGTATTGTGGCTGGAAATCAGTTAAATCTAAATTTAATATAGATCTAGGTAAAAAGAAAATATATGGTATAAATTTATTTTTAAAATCTTTTTCTTCTCTGAGTTTTAATATAAGCATTATTATCTAGAATTTTGTATTTAATTTATAATTGATACCCACATGCATTTAGATTTCTAATTAGAGCATGTTAAAATAGGCTGTGTAATTGGATGGTTAATAACTGAAATTTATTCTAACTTGGGAAAATTTATTCAAGGCTAACAACTGCTAATAGAATATTTTAGCATATTGCCAGAATCTAATGCCAAAGACACTCTAAGTGATAAAACATCACATTTGTGTTTGCCCACTTACATAATTAGAAGGTGATTTTCCTCCCAATTATTTTTTAATCCTCGAAGTAAAATGTTACTCTTTTAGGACTCTGTATGTAGTCCCTTCATTGTTTGGACTTTTAGTGTTTAAGGGTCACTAATTTGAAGAAATCGTTAATAAAATTAAATCTTTAAATAAAACAATGTCTTAAATAATTTCATCAAAGAAACTCCTGTTCATGACACATTCTGCTTTAACCACTCTTTCTATGATCTACTGAAACATTATTTTGTTAATGCTGAATGCTTAACTTGTTTTTTGTTTTATTCCTTTCTCTTCACATCTTGAAGTTTCAACTAACCTTTCAATGCTTTTTTTCCTTACCTCTTTTATTTGCTCCATTTATGCATTAAGTGGTTGCTTAGATTTAAGGTAAGAGATTCCAGGGCTTGATTTCCATTCTTTGTCCTTATGTAGAATATTACATATGGGGAGTAAAGAGATATTTGGCACTTGGCCTTTTAAAAGCAACGAATAATCCCTCTTTCTTATTTTATTTTTGTCATGCAACTTTGTGATGTCTTCATGTTCCTTGCGGGCAAATATTCTTGTCTATTTTGTTCACTACTCTATCTTTTGTGCCTAGAACAGTGCCTAACACATTAGGTGCTTAGTAAATGTTTGTTAAATGAATGGTTATTTTGCAGTGTTAACATATTTTGTGAAACCGAAATGTAAGCTACCTTATCATAAAATGTTATGAAATATAATTAACTGGATTTTTGTAAATGTAGAAATTTTATTATGAATTGGAGGGCCAACTAATGTGCTTTATTTAACCCTCCCCCTGTGTAATAGCCTTTTTATTCTATAAATGGTATGCTTTATCATATACCTTAGGACAATATGTCATTATCTTTTGACTTAATCAATGTAAAGAAATTGAGGAGCAGAAAATATCCAGTGTTGTGGGTTTTTTTTTAAGTTGCAGTATCAATATTTTTTGCAAAAATGTATTTTCAATTAGCTATATAAAATATATACTTCAGTATAAACTTTGAGTTTAAAAAAGTAAATATTATATGCAAAACATCAAAAGCTCATGATAGTGTTTAACAAAATACAAGTTAAGAATTAGAGATAATATTTCCTGTTGTAATTCATTTCAGTAACATTTTAGTATTTTGGAGGATTAGTGGTTAAAGAAATTCAACTATATTCGAGAAGCCTATTAAATAGGTTGCTACAATTATTTTCACCAAACTTAGCATGCATTTCCTCTTTGTTCTTTTTTTCTTAGCCAAGCTTTATAATTTCTTTTTTAAATTTATATTTTTTCCACCAAACACCCTTTTGTTTGCCATGTCTTCAGTCTAGTAAATGATAAGAAGACAAGAAGACTGAGTTCTGAATCACTAAGTATTAACCATGGCCACAGAAATTCTATTCAATCATAGTAGATAGATCTGACTAGAGGAGTCCAGGCAAATGTCCTCCATGTGTTGATTGGATGGTTGACTCCAAACCTTGAGTCTTGGTGAGTAAAATATGTGGAATTGTGAGGAGATTCCTTTTCCTTAAAATAGATGGTTTGCAGTCAGCTAGACCTAAAGCAGGCTGTGTGGTTGCCTTGGCCCTTTTCCTCTAAAGTCTTCATTCAAATTTTGCCTATTGTTGTGTTAATCTCCAAAGTGATAGAAGTATACAAAAAGATTAACTGAAGAAAAGGCACAGAAATGGACATATTTTTTACCCTTAAAGTTTAGATCATCTTGCCCAAGCCACTCTATCCTATGCTCATTTCCTCTAAACTCCACTATGATTCCTTCTTGATGTTCCTGGGTTCAGGATCTATTCCCATGTGGGAGACAGACCAAACTGAGAGGCTCCTAGAAAAATCTAACTACGAATCATACTTAATGTAATATCCCTTAACATCCCACTTAGATAAAATTCCTTAGCTTTTTGGAGACCTGTGAATTAAGTACCTTAGAAGTCTTCTGCTGGTCAGTACTATTATGGATTCCTTATCCTCATTTTAATCAGTGTAGCTGATTAAATGGAGCTTTAAAATGTGCTTATAATTTAAAGTATATTTAAGATCTAGCCTTTTTTCCTTCTTTATCTCTTCCTCAGCTCTGTTTTTGCTCCCATTGTTGTCAGACTTTTAATATTTTTCAAACACACTCTAAAAAAAGTCATCATACTTTGGGACTAGACATATGGAATTTGACTCAGAAGAGACCTCCTTGTTTTAAAAGTTGGATTTTTAGGCCAGGCCTGTAATCCTAGCACTTTGGGAGGCTGCGGCAGGAGGCTTGCTTGAGGCCAGGAGTTTGAGACC